CGGGCGGCCGCCAGGTTGGGGCACTTGGGGCTGAGCCCCGGGCCCGCGGCGCTGCCCGCCCAGGGCTCGTTGCTGTCCTTGAGCGGCCGCAGCGGGAGCTGCTCCGCGGGGTTGCGGATGAGGCTCTTGGAGATGTCGTTGCCCGCTGCCCGCTCGGCGCCGCTGCCGCCGGTGCCGCCGCCGGCCCAATCGTAGCAGTTGTTGGGGTACTCGGGCGCCTCGGCTTTGCGGCCGGCGCAGAAGAACCGCAGCGCCTTGGCCCAGCAGGAGTGAGCGGCGGGGCTGCGGCGGCGGCAGCGGCAGCACAGGGGCTCGGTGGCGGCCGCCAGCAGCGCCAGCGCCGTGCCCAGCTCAGCCGCCCGCAGCCAGAGCTGCGCAGCCCAGCCCGGCCGGGAGAACCGCGCCGGGGTGCCCAGGACCCCGCGCAGCCACAGGGCGCTGTAGAGCTGCAGCCCGCACACGGGCAGCCCCGCAACCGCCGCCGCCAGCAGCGCCCTCGCCCCGCGCCCCGCGTCTTCGTGCGGTGCCCGCAGCACCCGCCAGCACCCGCAGAGCCCCCCCAGCAGCAGCAGCGCTCCCGCTCCGCAGCCCAGCGCCTGCAGCCCCAGCCCCGCAGCCGGGCCCAGCCTCGGCGGTAGCAGGTCCGCGGCCCCCAGCACCGCGCTCTGCAGCGCGGCCGCGGCCCCCAGCGCCGGCAGCCCCCGCAGCCACGCCGGCAGCAGCCGGAGCTGCGCCAAGCGCTGCAGGCGCTGCAGGAGGAGGGCGAAGGCGCCGAGCATCAGCGGGAAGGGGACGGTGCTGAGCAGCAGCAGCGCCCTCAGGGGCAGGCGGTGCCGTGCCCCGTAGGGGTCCAGCAGCAGGAAGGTGGCCCGCAGAAGACAGGCGCACAGCAGCAGCCCGTGGGCCCCTAGAATGTGGGGCAGGTTGAGGGGGCGCAGAGCAGCCGCCCAGGCCAGTCCCACCACGCAGCCCAGCGCCAGCAGCAGGAAGATGGCGGCTGCCCCATAGATGTGGGTCTCCCAGGTGAAGCCCAGCTGGTGCCGCAGCTCGGCCCAGCGCAGCCCCGTCCCATTGGACCCTGGTGATGGAGAAGGGTGGCTCAGCTGTGGTGTTTGCGGCGGCTGTGGTGGCTGTGGTGGATATGGTGTGGATGGGTGCCGTGGCGCTGGTTGTGGTGTCACCGCTGCCCGCCATGCTGTGACCGAAGGGGATGGGGTGCCGTGGGCAGGGGGGTTTGTCCCTGGGAAGCCTGCAGGCCGGACAAAGGGGATGGTTAGCGGTCCCTGCATTCACTCCCCATCCACAGGGGTATGCCCCATGCCAACCATAGCTGTGGCCAATGACACCTCTGGTGGTCTCCAGCAGGACCCCCCAGTGGCATGTCCTTGGTCACATCCCCGATCCCCAAGTGGAAACCCGCTCCTGCTGGGCTTTAGCACTAATCCCTACTGGCAGGACTAGATTAGGGCCATTGCCCAGCGCAATCCTGATTGAAGGTGTCACCGTGCCCTGGCTGGGAGGCCCAAGATAGCTGCATCCCCCCCGCCAGCCCTGATGCCCCATGGATGGGCTCCCATGGATGGGCTTGGATGCAGCCCTGCGTCACCTGAGTGCCGGGTGCTGTTTGTCCCTGCGGTGGGAGGTGCTGTTGGCTGTGGGGCGGCCTCGGTGGCGTTTGGGATGCTCATGGCTCCCACGGCGCCCCGGACCCGCTGCGGGGTCCCGACGTCCTCCTCAGGCAGCAGCCCTGCGAAAGAGGGCAGAGCCGGGCGCTGGCACCCACAGGGAGCGTGGTCCCTACCGCATGGTCCCTCCTGCTCCTACCTGTGCCGGGGAGGTCCGTTGTGATGCTGGAGTTGTGGGGCAGCAGTGCAGGGCCAGTGCTGAGCGCAGCCCCCGGGGCAGGCTGGGGTACCCCCTGTCCCATCGGGCCGGGGTCCGTGCGAGGGGCTGCGTCCCCGGTGCCGGCAGTGCTGTGGCTGAGCGGGGCTCTGCGAGTGCTGCGCTGGTGGGATGGGAGCGGCCGGGTCCAGGGCTCAGCCAGCCCCAACGATGGGGCTGCGGGGGGCAGCAGTGAGGCAGAGCTGAGCGGAGCCAGGGAGGGTATGGCGGGACCCCCCAAGTCCCCCTGTGTGCCCAATGACTGTGTGGAGCCAGGGCTGGTGTGGGCACTCCTGCCCTTGGGGTGGGAGACAGGGCCGGTGCTCAGAGGAACCAGTGTCCCCATGGCCGCTGTGGGTCCCTCCGCCACTGATTGTCCCCCTCCGTGGGCACCTGTCCCCACCCCATTGCGCACCCCCGCTGCCGGCACGGGGATCAGGGCGATGGTGGACACGGTTGGCCGAGGGCTGGGGGTGCTGTGCCTTGCCCAGGGCGGCCCTGAGGAGCCCAGCCCCGTGTCCACGGGCACCTCAGGGCCTGGTGCCCCCAGCGCAGAGCCATGGGGCAGCGAGGTCTCCCCGTGGGGACTGTTCCAGCCTTTGGCCTCGTGTCCTTGCCCGGCGATGAGCATCTCCTCCGCCACGTCCGGGGCCGCGCCGGCACCTCCCGTGGTGCTTTCCGTCTCCGGAGGTGCCCCCATGGCCTCTCCTGCCCGCAGCGGTGGGAACCAGTGCACGGGGCTGCTGCCGCCCCAGCGCTCACCCCCGGGGGCCCCGGCACCGCTCGGCTCCCCTGAGGCTTCCCAGGCTGGGGACAGGCCCGGCCACCGCTGACCCCAGGCTGGGCCGTGCCGGGGGTCCCTGCTCTGCTGCAGGGTCCTGCCTGGGGTCAGGCCCTCCGGCACCGGCCCCCGTGCACCGGCGGGGCCCCCGGCAGCAAGGAGGAGTCCCCAGGTGACCAGCAGTGCTGCAGCCATGGTGAGTGCCAGGCGGCCCTGCGGGGATGGGGGCTCTGTGAGCTTGGGGGGCTCATGTCACCGGCCATGGGGCCACTGTGCCCACAGACACCCATTGTCATGGCTGTCCTGGGGACCCTTCCCAGCTGGCCCCATCCCTGGTCTCCCTGCTGACAGTGGCCCCATTCCCGGTCTTCCTCTTCCCAGTGCCCCCAGTGCTCATGGTCCCCATCACGGTGTCCCCAGTGCTGGTGGTCCTTAGTGCTTAGTGGTCCCTGCTCCCAGCATCCCCGGTGTCCCCATCCCCGGTGTCCCCATCCCTGATGCTCCATCCCCGGTGTCCCCATCCCCGGTGTCCCGGCGGCCCCGCTCTGGCGCGCACCGTTCACCTTGGCGCGTCCCCGGCTGCATCCCGCTGGGGATGCCCGGCCCCGCGCGCTCCCGCCGCCACCGCCGCCGCACACGGGAACGGGAACGGGGACGGGACCGCCCGGTTGCAGCGGCGGGGCCGCGCTGCGAGGCCGGCACCATCGCGGGGCCGGTTCAGCCGCCGCATCCCGCGGACCCCCGCCTGCCGCGGCCCCACTGCTCGATGCTCGGTACCCGGTGCCCGGGCCGCGGCGCGTCCAGCCCCCTCCCGCCGCCCGCCGCAGCACGGGAGGCCCCGGTGCGGGTGCCGGCCGCAGCCCCCCCGCTGACCTGCCGGTGCCGGTGCCGGTGCCGGTGCCGGTGCCGGTGCCGGTGCCGGTGCGGGCCGGGCGCTGCAAGCGGAGCGGGCGGCGGCGGCGGCAGCCGGTCACGCGCCGCCCCAAGCCGCGGGCACCCGCGCGGGAACCCGCCCGCACCGGGAGGCGGCGGGCGGGGGGGGGGGGTGCTGCGGGGCCGCTCGGGAGCGGTTGGAGCCGGCGTGCGGGGACGGGAAGTGGGGGAGCGGGCACCGGGTGGGTCCCGGAGAGGCGGCTGGGGTGAGATACGGGGAGCAGGACCCTGTGGGCTGGGAGAACGGCGGGGCAGCAGCGGGGATGCTGCGGTGGAGGGGATGGACAAGCAGGGCGGGCAGGGCAGGCGGGACCCTGTCGGGTCCTCGGGCAGGTCTATGGGTGCCCCTGGTCCCTGGCACCTTCCTACCCCGCAGCTCCTGCCCGCCCTGCACGGGGCAGGCAGCAGCCTGGCAGCCGCTGTGCTCTGGGGCCCTGCCAAGTGCAGGTAATTAGCTAATCAGGTAATTGTCCCGCTGGAGAGCTGCCCGCTTGGCCAGGCTTTGGGTTGGCATTGGCACGGCCTCAAAGTGACGCTGGCTCCGGGCACTGGCACACAGGTGGTGCTCCCCGGTCCCTCGGGCAGCACCAGAGCCACCGCAGCTGTGGCAAACCCCTGTCACCACCATTGCTCTCTTCTCACCCAGGACAGCGGGGACAGGACAAGGGGGAATGGCTTTAACCCGCCAGAGATGAGCTCTTAGGCAGAAGCTCTTCCCTGTGAGGGTGCTGAGACGCTGGCACAGGGTGCCCAGAGAAGCTGTGGCTGCCCCATCCCTGGCAGTGTTCAAGGCCAGGGACTTGCCTGGTGCAGGGAGAGGCTCCACTGGCTGCTGTTGCTGTTACATCTCCTTTCTCCAGGGTTTTTGGTTGCTGTCATGTGCATGTAGTCGGGGGCTGTGGTGGTCCCTGCATCGTATCCCACTGCTGCTTCATCTCTGGGGTGCTGGGGAGCCTTGCCCTGCTCTGTCTCAGCACAGAGACACCTCCAGAGGTCCCTCCAAGCTCAGCCATGTGCTGCAGAGCTGCTGCCTGCAGGCCAGGGCCTGAACCCATCTCCATCGACCCCATGGAGCTGGTTCTGCCCAGCACAGGCTATGCTGGGGTGGAGGTGGGTAGTGGAGGATGATGTGATCTGCATGGCCATGATGCCATCATGCAGCCCCTCTGCTCACCCCAAGGCTCAGGGGGCTCCCCATCTCTCCCCCACTGCCTTCTCCTTGTTAGTTATCATCATTGAACCAGTGTGGAACGGGAAGGGTGGAGGTTTCCTTCTTTAAACATCAGAGAGGAGCTGAACAAACGAATCCTCCCAGCTCCTTGATCCAGGGCAGTTAAAAGAGCAGCCGTCTGCTCACCCGCGGGAACAGGATCCTGCCTCTCCCCAAAGACCAACACAGCCATGCTGGACTTTGGCAAGCACACAATGAGTTTATTACAGCCAGGAAAAAGGGATCGCAGCCTTCCCCCTCAGGACAGCGAAGCTGCACTGTGCAGATTCGTGGCAATAGAGCTCTTTTGTCAACACCAAATGCTGCTTTTGCTGATAATTACTCAGATTGCAAATCAGATGTGTCTGACCTGGGTGTTTTGGAGCAACTCCTCACCTGAGAGGTTCCTAAAGAACAAGGGCTGTCCATCAGTGGCTTCATCTGCTCAGTGTGAATGTCACATTTTTGGCTCCCATTTGAGACCACTGCCCTTGAGAAGTGCACACTGGAGAATTCCTTGGTTAGCCAAGAGATGTGAGAGGCAAATCATTTCCTGAGTTTTCTGAAACCAAGAATTTTCTGCTTGAAAGGAGAAGAAACGCAATAACTGGTGAACCCGAGGTGGTGGGATTTGGGTTTCCTCAGCGAAACTTGTTCCTGTCCAAACAAATCTGAACCTTACTGATATTAACAAGAACAATGAACACTGTTGCTGCCCGGGGAGCTCAGAACCTGAACTCTTGAGACACACAAACCAGCATAGAGACTAAGTGAGAAACAGCAGAGTAAAGCCTCTGGCCACAGAGAGGTTATTACACCTAGCCGGAGAGTTTCAGGCAGGCCTCAGTGCTGAGACTGCTTGAGCTGCTCATCTGTGCTCTGCCTTCTCCCTGCTGAGTGTCTGGGTCATACCATGTAAATATGACTGTATTTTGAGCCTAGGGCACCTCTGCTGGGAGCAGGGAGCAAACTAATACAGATCCCATTGGCTTTCCATGCTAAGGGGGAGTTTCCCCTTGATCCCACGCAGTCCCTTACAACAAAAGTGGGCAATAACACTTCCAAGCATCCAGGCACCTTGTTTCTGATTAAGCAGGTAGCTCCTGCAAGGATAAACTGATGGCACTGAGGACCCTGATCAGGCAACAAAACCCTTCAATCAGAATAATCACTGTCAAAAACTAGAGAGCAACAGCCCATGTTCTGCTGAGGCAGCGCAGCAACAGGATAGGGCTTCTTGGTGCTTCCAGGGCTTTGGAGGCTGAAGCAGCTCATCTGTTTGTCACCTGTGGTGCTACACAGGGAAAAGGTATTCTCCTGAGGTGAGGAATCCAGGAGGTACCTTTTCACAATGGAAACGTTTTCTCTCTTTTGCATTTCCAAGCTTCTCTTTCTCTTGTCTGCAAGTTGCTGCAGGCTTTTATCGGAGCAGGGCACTGGTGGGAAGTGCTTTGTAAGCCTTGTCTGAGTGCTGAGGACCTGCTGGTTGGGAGCTGAGCTGGAGCTTCCCAAATTGAGAGCAACCTTGTACCTGGGAAAGCTGTTTTTTCTGGAGCTCTCCAACTCAATAGTCCCATTTGCCTTCCTTTGCTTGAGCCCAGCCTCAGCACATCGGGAGAGCTCACCTTTTCTCACAGCAGGGCACGTTTTCTTCCTTCCCATTGCTTTATTCCAGGGGATCCTTCCTTGCTTCTGCTTCACTTTGTTCCTTACAGCTGCATTCTCCACCTCATGGTCCATGTTCCAGTTGCTGTCTCTTCTCCCAGGCACATCTTTCTGAAGGTGGGAAGCTTGGGGCTGCCTCTGTCGCGATGGCATCATGGATTGGAACCCTCGAGTGCTTCTCCTGATCGCCTTCCTCAGTGGAGTGGGTAGAGGCACATCCTGTGGTGCAGGACAGTGCCTCTTCTGATGCCCTCCCAAAAAGTGACTGTGAGCGCAGCACATGCAAGGGTGGTTGACACATCTCTGTGATTCTGAACTGTATTTCACCTCCTGCAATGAGGAGTGTTCTCTACGCACCTCGGCAGCACTGGGGCTGACGTTCCCTTCTGAGGCTGTGTTTAGGTCATCTATAGATGTGCCATCCCCAGTGACCTGGTTCCTCTTGGGGGAGTCTCTGTGCTGCTCCCCCTGTCTCACGCTGGGGAAGTGAAAGGGACCCAAGGGGCTCTGCTCATGCAGAGCACAGAGCTGGCATGGGCCAGGAGAGGTCTGGGAGGAGTTATCAGCCATGGCAGGGCGGGCTTTGGCAATAGAAATGAACGTGTGCAGCTCATCTAAAGTGTTAGGGAGCTTCAGGAAGCCAAGTTCTTCACACAGCTTCAGGTGCTGATCTCTCAGCTGAGCTGGCAGCGACTCCAGACCCTCCTTCAGCAGCTGGACACTGGATTTCACATCTAGAAGCTCTGCATCTTTCTGGGGAAGCAGCAAGCAGACCACAAGCAGTCAGCAGCATGTTAAAACGTGCAAGAAGAGTATTTAAATCAGAAACTTAAGGTACTGTGTGTCAGACCCCTTAAATTGTGTAATTGAACCAAAGATCAGCCATTTATATCTACTTGTGTAATGCATGTTCTCAAACTAGATTCAGATTAGGTATTAGGAAGTTCTTCCCTGTGAGGGTGCTGAGGCGCTGGCACAGGGTGCCCAGAGAAGCTGTGGCTGCCCCATCCCTGGCAGTGTTCAAGGCCAGCTTGGATGGTGCTTGGAGCACCCTGCTCTAGTGGAGAGTGCCCCTGCCCATGGCAGCAGGTTGGAACTGGTTGAGCTTTAAGGTCCCTTCCAACCCAAACCAGTCTGGGATTGTAGGATTCTATGAAACTGTCCCACAGAAGTGAGAGGCTGGGATTGGGGCATACCCCTAACCCGGGGTGTGTCCTCTCTCCCAGGAGCACTGCCTCCTCATGTGCTGGCATGACACATCTTTGCCAAAAGCAATTTGTGCAGCAGGGCCTTTAGAGAAGCCCAACCTGTCCAGGAGCTCTCTGACAGCTCGCTCTTTCACCACTGACACCTACTTATTCTTTTTTCACCTCTTCTTTCCTCTCCCTGGGGAAGCAGCCAGCTGAAGGGACAAGGCACTGCACCTCCGCGAGATGCTCTCCCCTCACAGGCACGCACTGCACCACCTCCTCCAGTGGAGGCATGTGCCAGCGTGAGGAAGCAGTGCTCCATCATCACCACTTGCCACAACAGGGCACTGTTGGGCTCCCCTCTTTCCCAATCAGGGTTTCATCAGAGCTTACAGCACTGTCAGCCAGTGCTCGCTTAAGCATCAGTCAGTATCTAGCCTAGAATTAGCATTTTGATGTCTTTCCCCCTTCGTTAGAACAGGAGCAGTCTACTTTATAACCCACCATTGGAAGGCAATCTAATGTTCAGTTCATATTTTGTAGAAGTGGGGGAAATCCAGAGTGAAGGCTCAGAAAGAAAGGTTAATTTCTGCACTTACTGCTGCGAGTCTCCTCTCCATCTCCAGCAGCGCCTGCTCCGTTTGGCTTTTGTCTGTCAGAGCTTTCAGCACCAAACCACACTGACTCTGAAAAGCATCTTGCACTAAACAGGGAAATCAATAAAAACCCATATTTGGTCTTTCATTTGTAAATGTGAATAAAGCACTGTCAATACTATCGCTATTTACTCCACGGCTCGGCATGAGATACTTCCCTGTGCTGTGCAACCATAGTGATTTGCCTGCTGAGATCTCTCTGAGCCCCAAGCCATGAACAATAGGGTGGATGTTTAATGCAAAGCACTTGGAATTTATAAGATGGTGAGCACAGGCCAAACCTCATTTACTGAGCTCTATTAATATGGCAGCTGGAGATGAAAGGCTACGTGAAGCTGCTGAACTTCCTCTGCTCAGTGCAAGGATGAGGCTTAGTTGTCTGCCAGCTGTACAAGAGGCACAGCCAGAGGGGGACCCCAGTATAGCTGATGCACCCCAGTATAACCAGTGTTTGGGCAGCTGCAGCTGGAATACTGTAAGGTTGTGAGGGCCATGGCAATGTCCTGTGGAGAGGGTTTCAAATTGGAGGAAGATGCTCTTGCTGAAAAACTGATCAAAAATAGGGATTTGTGCTGTATGATTGGACAATTCCTGCCCCCATGCAGCTGCAATTCCAGGAACCACTGCTGTGCCTAATACACTCCAGCCAGGAATGTGGTTTACAGCCTGTGTGGGGATGAAAAATCCTTAGCAATCTTACAGAAGTCTTCCTTTAACGTCATAAATTAGGATGGAGAGAAAGAGCTGTTCCCTAAACATTCCTGAGAACAGGCAGGAAGGTGTGTCCAGATGGTGTGGCTGGGGTGGAATGTTGGCACAGAACAGGATCCAAAGCGTTCCTGCTAAAACAAAAGCATTGCCAAGCACACGGGCCGGGATGACTGAAACTCCGGAGTCCTGGACTAGCACTGAGCAGTCAGAGTAAACCCCACATTTCAACAAGTGGCTACAAGAACTCTGTGATTAATTAGTCCACTTTCACTACAGACCCAATGTGTTCGATTGACTTTGGTGTTGGTGGAATTGAGAGCTTGAAGCTGTTGCTGCACATGGAGTATATCAGGGCACCTCTTGCCCCAGAGACTTGTGCTCCCAGGCTGCACAGTGCTCAGGATCACTTCTCCTGCCCAGCTATTTTCATTAAGCTTGCAGGGACTTAATTATCTCGGTGAGCTGTGCCCTCTGTCAGGCTCTAGGTGGAACTGGTTAAAGAGCTAAAAACTATTAGGGAGAGGCAGGCAGAAAGGGATTGTACAGGCTTTGCTGCTGTGAGAAAACAGGGGTGTTTTTAAAAGGTACATTTGGGAAGGGAGAAAGAGATCTGAGCAATTATGGGATTATTGGTTTGTTCTCACACTGTGCAGGGTTTTAGAATAGATTTTAGGGGAAAGAGTACTCAAAGGCATGGGGGAAAATGGAATGAAATGGAACAAGGTTTTGTAAAAGGTGGATTGGGCCTGACTAATGTAGTGCATTAGGATGAGATAGGTGATTTCTTAGACAAAGGCAGTGGCCTTGCTGCAGACACAAATAGAGCTTTTCTGTGGAAGCTGTCATGTAATATGAAAATAAAAAAGCTGAGAAAAATTAAGTGATTAAGCCTCAGTTAAAGGGAAAACATCAGCTCTTGGGAAGGGTAGCATGAGAGGACAAGGCAGGTATGGAAGGTGCTCCTCAAGGCCTCCCCATGGGCAAAACCTGCTTAAAATCACCTGGGTGCAAAAACCTGAAGGCATTTAGGTAATTAGAAGGTAATTAGAAGACATGGGCTCAAATGCCAGCACCAGGGGCTGTGCTGAAACAGGGCAGCGTGGTGGGATACAGACTTTGGCTGGTGGGGAGTGCTGGAAGTCCCTGTACACCTGTAGCTGTCCTCGTGCAAGGTAAGAGATTGAGCATGGACACGTGCAGAGGAGAGCTAGAAGATAATGAAGTGCTTAGTGATAATCTCCTCTTATGAAAGGAGATTGAAAGTGTATGGCTTATTCAGTGCAGCAGAGGTGTCTGGTGGTGTGAGGCTGGAGGTGCTGTGCTGTTGTATAGCACAGCTTCTGCTTAAGAGATGCTGCTTTGCTGAGAGGAGATGTATTCTTTGCCTTCATATGAAGGAGTGATGCTTGGGCACAGCATAAGCTGTGAGAAGGAGCCCTCATCCTCACATGCATCGAGTTAAACCACCTCCTAGATGTAGGTTTGGGGGGAATTTCTTCATTTTCTCAGGGTGTCCATCACCACATGGCTTTGCCTTGTTCTCTGTAGGAGTGTGGCTGATTTCTGAGGATTATCTGCACATATTTCAGCAATAAGCTCTCTGCTGTTGCAGGCAATTTTCTTGTACTTGCTCTTTCACTGCCGTTTTTAAGCTTTTAGTCTTTTGCTCTGACAGATTTAGACTTCTTAACAAATCACAAGGGGAAAGCTGCGGCTTGCAGAATGGGTTTGTAGTGGTGGGGAGAATGTTTGAGTGGGCCTTCAAGACCTTTGGTTAGACCTCAGGGCTACTAGGAACCTGAGAGCAGGGTTTTACCAGCCTTATCCTAGCCTGCAAGCCTTTAAAGGGGAGGAAAACAGCAGGGACTGTAGGAGGAAACTCCTTTCACACACCTTCATCACCTTCCACTGTGCCACAGTGGGGCTATAGGAAGGCCAGCAGCAGCGAGCTCCCATTAGCTTGCTGCTCTTCTCCATTCACTTAATTTTAGTTTAGGACTATTTTTATAACTTTCTTGTTTCTCTCCCCTGTCTGTTCTCCTACAACATGGTATCCTCTGACTAAAAATAACCCTGCATCCACTGGGCTTGTGATCTGCACATAGGTTTGACTCAGCATAGCATGCTGCAGGCAAGCAACTGGCAGCCAGGCTTTTGAATGCGCTTCGTTTGTAGTGTAGGAGTGTTCTGCAGGATAAAACCACTCTCAGCACAGGGGAGGGGCATTCTCTTTCCCTCCCTGGCTTCCATACCATGAGAGTGTTCAGGCTTGTCAAACCCTATTAAAGAAAATAAAAAATGACTTAAAATATAGGGATTGAGGTGACCAAATGAGATCAGATTAAGGAGCCTGTTAGTCAAGTCTCTTGTTTTTGAAAATGATCAAGAACAGCTGCCTCAGAGCAAGTTTCTCCCAAATAAACCCTGCAGCAGATAGTTACTGAATAACTTGATCACTGAGAGAAAGCCTTTACTCCATTAATGGGTGGTTTATGCACAGACTTGTGCCTCTCAAGGTATTTAAACAAAGCAGTCTTTTACACTGTGTTTTGATTTGCTGTAGCATGGTCTTTGGATGCTACTTGTTTCCATTAATAACCTAAGGAATGTGAAATCTGGCATCAGATAAAATGCTGTAGGACCTTGGGATAGGTCTGCCCCCCTGTGCTGCAGAGGGCTCCCCCAAATCAGCATGCACTCCCAGCAGCTGAGAACTCTAGTGAAAGCAGTCAAAGAAGGAGCCAGAGCCTCACAGCCCAGGAATATTAAACATCAACTCTTTCTGATGCCTATCTATCATCTGCAGTTCGTCCTAGATTGGCACTGACAGTGCAGAGGCTTTAAATAACACTTTGGAGAGAGGTTGAGTGCAGCGGGGGAATAGGAGGTGGTACAAACCCAGTGAGACGTGAGACAAGACAGCTGTGGGGCTCAGCCTAGTGCTGTGTTTTCTGCCTGGGCAGTAACTGAGCTGTATGCCAGTGAGTGAGACATTTGGGCTGTCACAGCTGCATCCTGTTTGGATCATTGCCAGTCACTGCACGGCTCATTAGCAGCTGCATGGGAAAGGTGTTTCTTTTATGAACTTTAAATCTTGGCTTTTCAATCCATACAGAACTTAAATCCCAGACTGGCTTGGGCTGAAGGGACCTTAAAGCTCCTCCAGCCCCAACCCCTGCCACGGGCAGGGACCCCTTCCACTAGAGCAGCTTGCTCCAAGCCCCTGTGTCCAACCTGGCCTTGAACACTGCCAGGGATGGGGCAGCCACAGCTTCTCTGGGCACCCTGTGCCAGCGCCTCAGCACCCTCACAGGGAAGAGCTTCTGCCTCAGAGCTCATCTCAGTCTCCCCTCTGGCAGGTTAAAGCCATTCCCCTTGGCCTGTTCCTACAGGCCCCTGTCTAAAGCTCCTCTCCAGGTTTCTTGTTGGCCCCTTTAGGCACTGGAGCTGCTCTAAGGTCTGAGGAGTCTTGAAACAAGCCATGTTTGAAAACTGCCCACCAGGTCCTGTATTTCGTCAGAGAATTGCATCAGCTTCTACCTCTGTAAGGGTCATGTTGCACGTTATTGTGTCACCCTTGCTGGCAGGAGCACCAGAGGATTGCCTGTGAAAATGCTGGCTGGGAATACGCTTCTTATTTGCAATGGAGTCAAGGTGGTGTGGAGGACATGGTTGTTAGGAACTGTCACAGCTGGAACTGCCAGACAGCAGGAGAGCAAAGCTGTTCTGGGAGGGCTGAGCTGTGAAAACTGGGATTTGTATGGAAAAAAATATAGAAAGTTTGCTAGAAGTGGGGGTATATAAATAAAATGAGAAAAGCATAACAATCATGAGTTAGGGGACCTGAAACCAGAAGGAAAGAGTAAATGATGAGCAGGTAACTCAACCAGGTGGAAGAACTGAGGGCGTGTGGTCTGCTTGCCTCTCCCCATCCCTGTGCACAGCACACCAAGATGTGACCAAGTAACAGAGCAGCTATGGGAGCTACTTGGGCAAACACTGCCTCATCTGCAGTGTCAGACACAGCTCCATCCACTGTGTGCAAGCACATATGGACAAACACTCCATGGAGAGCACTTTTTATAGCTCTTCCTGCATGCCAGACCAACAGCATTTGGAAATCTGTGCTGAAAAACATTGTCTGTTTTGTTCTTGCCCACTGGCTCTGAAGGCTGCCAAACGTCTTGCTCCCCACTGCTATAACTGCAGCCTGCCATACTCTATAAGCTTTTAATGAAGACGGGCTTGATTTCAAGTTCCACCTTTCTTTGTTTTGCAGATCTGTTTCATGGTCCTGGTGTGCTACTTCTTGCCTTGAAAAGAGCTTCTTCATCTTCTGCATTCCTCTCCTACATGTGAAGTCTTCTGCTGCCAATGATTTACTGTGTCTCTCCCATGTCACCCACATCCCAAGGTACTGTGTCATCAGCCACTGTCATTCCGTGCTTTATCAGCTCTGAATGTAGCACATTATCACCTGAGTTTAGGAAGGGAATTGCCTCAGTTGGGATCTTTTCAAGGCACTAGGGCAGGTATTTATTTAGTGGGAGCTTAATTACCCATTGCTGTGATAGAGTCAAATGGCAGCATTTATCAGCAATTAAGCAGTGACAGATGAACCTCCCCTAAATATAAAAAGAACAACATTGTGGAGCATGTGATGATTTTCATTATAGATTCAACATTCTGCAGCATGATACATTGCAGAAAGAGCCAATTTTTCTTTTCAATTGCTTTGAAAATCTAGCAGCAGGCACCTCGGGGAGGCTTCTCATTTCATTCAAGGCACATTTATTTAAAATGAGTACGGAGAAGAAACAGGACAGCTGAGTAAATGGTATGGAGTGAAAAGGGGGAATTGTGAACAACAGATTTGATTTTCAGTGCCATGACAACAATTTCTGTGTACAAGGTGTATGAAATCAGGCAAAGTCCTGTCAGAGAGTGGGTGAGTTGAGGTGCTGAAGGAATTGGGAGATGGGCAAATGCATAATGGGAAGCTTGGGCTGGCCAAAGCAGACGGATTCTTGCTTACATTAAGGTCTCGTTGAGAGCACTTGCCAAGCACAGCAAGGGAGTGTTCTCGGTATAACAGGATTGGTATTTCATATTTCAGACTATTGCAACCTCCAGCAGAATGAACCAGGCTCCACTCTTTCTGCCTGAGAGGACTGTGCTGACTTAAAGGGTATCTGTCAAAGCTGTGCTTCGTGGAAGCCGCGTTTTACCACCCAGTAAATATTATAATGCTTTTGTGAAGGTCTGCTACCTTGATCTCACAAGGTAAAGCATGCACTGAAGGGTTCTTCCTCTTGCACAGAGGTCAAGCACTGAGCAATGTCCTGACAGGGTGTTGATAAAAAATCACACCAGCATTAAAGATTAATGCCCTCTCAAAGGCTCGGGCATAAGCCAAATTAGAAACAATTCCTCTGAAGCACTTTCCCTCGGCAAAGACTGCTGTGACAAGCCTCTTCAGAGACAGGGCTGTTCTAAAGTGGTTTACACTGCTGGCTTTATGGGGAGATCACCTTTCTGTCATGGCAATAGCATGTTTCACTATCTGCTTCTTGAGAAATGAGCAGTACTAGTTTTGTTCATATCTAAAATATGACCACTTCAAGCCACAGAGAGGAGCAATGGAAGGCTTCAAACTAACACATGAAAATCTGAGAAATCCTGAAAAACTGAAACTGGATACTTGGGATATAAATATCCAAGTTATTTTTACTGTGTTTTCCACTAGAGCTTCACATAGTCTAAAAATGATGATACTCCAGGCAGAACATGAAAACACGGAAGTGCATTTATCTGTGCATGGTATCTAACCACGAAACACCTAAGTTCCTTGACACAAGAGAGGAGAGAAAAGGAAAATATGGCAGAGCAAGAATAGAAAACCAGACAAGTCCATGCGATGGATAAGACTCATTTGCTCTTCTCCCTTGGGAAGAGCAGCTGTGAGTGGCATGACCTGCCTAGTTTACCCCCTCTTGGAGACAACACGCTGACATTCAGCAGTTTGACTGTGCCCTCTGCTGTTAACAGAAATACAGAAAGGACTTGCGTGTCTTGGAGATGGTTTCTAAGTGAGCCAAAATGGATTTGTTTCTTGAATCACATGTTTCTCCAAACTGGTCCAAGCATCCTTGCAGCTGCAAAAACAAAGGTAAAGGGAAGAAAATTAATACATTGCCCTTTTTTGGTGTCAAAACCACAACCCCAAATGCCTCAGAATAACAACTGCAACTCATGAAATGGAACTCCCTGAAAAAAAGTGATTTATCTGTTCAGCTTTGGTTGCAACCCCAAAGCTGATCTGGAATGGCTTATGAAATGTTGCAGACCTCTTAAGAGGTTGCAAACTAGAGATACTGATCTGTAAAATAGCACTAATAATTACATTGAACAATTATAAATATGGTAGGGGGAAGACCTTTACGTTCACACAGTAAGGCCACATTGACTTATTCCCAAGAGTAGACTACTTTCTTCAGGCAGAAGGAAACAAGAACTACTATTTGCAGACATTGCAGCTATCACAGCCTGCTCTTGCTCCTGAGACCCAGAGAAATCCTACTGCTGACTTTGAGGCAAGGCCCTAAAGACCTTGCCCCTATGGACAAGCCACAGAGACAATGGTCTATATAAAAACCCTGACAGCCATTGGTTTAAAGTATTTGAGTGCTCAAGACAAATAGTGTAATAATGGAACTAGCACAGTAAATGAGAGAAGGTGAATGTTCTGTAGCATTTCTAGCTCATTATTCTGCAGTCTGAATTTGAATTAACTTACCCCTTGAAGCTTGTCTTTGATACTGGAAATAAAGGTGCTTAAAACCTCACTAAAATGCAAAAAAAAAGGAAAAAACAAAACCAAATATAAATCAGACATGTATGTTACTGAAGTAGACAGAAATTGAGAAGATCACAGTAAACATGAGGCATGAAACACTGCAAGGCATAGTGTAGTGCATAATATAAGCACAGAAACATGCTTACTTTGGGGGGGGGACGCGGACGGACACTGTTTACTGTTTGAAGTCACCTTATTTGTTTTAGGAAAGCATGGGTTCTGATGTGTAGAGTAAGGAAAAACCCCTCTATATACCATGTATGTTTATGTCATGTACATGGAGTTGGGTTTTTAACTCTTCCATTTTTGGCCTAGCATTTGTGCCTCTCTCAAGAGTTTTAGTTGGCATTTCCACAACTGTCCCTTAGTTGCTGGGGTGTCACCACAGCTCTATCTGCTCTGGAAGGACACAACCTTGGCGAAGGTGACATGCCAATTGCTGGGATACATGGATGTTGTACTTGAATTAAATATCTGTGGGAAAAGCATGGGAAAAGCTTCAGTATCAACAAAGCCCATGCCAGGAAGAACAAATACTGCAAATCCTTTTCTCCTGTGGTCTCTGTTATCCATCCTTTTAAGTTGAGTGAGCCTGTGCTCATGATTAACCCACCAAACCAAATCCTAAGCAAAGTGATAACATATTTCCTCTCGGAAGAGCCAGGTAATTTAAAATCAGTCCTTTAGTGATCCAAATTGCAACAAGAAAAAGGTGGAGGCCAGGTAGAGTCTAGTTATGAGAATTAGGAGGGCTTTCTGAAAGCTTCCTAGCCTTATGGAAAGGAAGATATTAATTTGATTAGTCAAACTTGCAGGTGATACAAATTGATAAACTGGGAGAGAATCTGGAGCATAGGAAGGAGCATAATTAATTTAAAGAAGATATAAAGGATAATTAAGAGTTCTGCCTAAACAATAAAAACTATTGGTTCATTTCTCCTAATTCACTTACAAAACCCCTCCTCTTCTCCAATAGGCACTACAGAATCAACTTCACCTTGTCAGAAACAGTGCCCATTGCAAAAGAGCAAAGGATACATAGCCGGATTTGATCACAGGTTTTAATAACAATGCATTTCACTTTGTATATTACATTATAAAATGTACAGTGCTAAGAATTATTTATAGGTGCACTGGGAAGTTTGCCATCTTTCATTTCTGAGCTTCAAACGGTTTGCTTGTTCCTTAAGGTCCTTCTGGGCCTACTTGACCGTTTCATTCTTAACATCTGACAAAGAGCAGAGGCAAACCACAGGGGGCACATTCCACTTGCCTGTTACCAAACCACAGGATATAAAAATCTTGTTTACAAGTGAAATTCTAGAGATACGTGCTGATTTTAAAAGGGATAATCATTTCATCTTCCGCTGCACGCAAGTATGCTTGGCTATCTCCACTTTTGGCCTGAATGCAAAGGCTGTGCTCAGAGCCCCTTCAATCAGTCCCAACACAGTGTATCATTTGAGAAATATGGGTTTTCACAGAGAATCAATAGCGAAAATCCCCTGCTGATGAGATAAAGAAGGACAAAGGTGAAGTCAGGTTAGAGTTGTGTTGTTCGTTGTGGTTTATGGCTGAGTGCGTTACATAAATCACATTGGAAATAAACCCGATTTTCTTATCCTGTGGCTCTTTCCAATCAGAGATTGTTTAAAACCTGAAAAGATACTTTTCTTGGAGAAATATGCAGCTCTGTCATGTATGACTTTGAAGAGGGGAAGAAGGACCTGCAGGGAGTGCTAACCACCAGCACAGAAAGGATTTTCAATGGACGCTTTACATACCGATCATATTTGTCCTTTATTTTGTTCTTATTCACTTCAAAACTTTCCAAGATATTTTTCACTCTTCCCGCACCAAAATGAAGTGGAGCTTTTTCTTTTATCTCTTCATCAAATAGCTGTGGTTTCATCTGGTATTTGGTGAAAATACTGGGCTCGCTCTGTTGCACAAAAGGAAGAAAAACTGTTGGAGTATAAAAATAACCAGAACATTCATTAGGGGGAAAAAAAAACCCACAAACATTTGTTTCTCGAGTGCTTTGCATACAGGTCACAGTGATTGGATGTGACAGATTAGATTGGACGAGATGATTAAGAATTTCATGAGATTATGCCTCACTTAGCATGCCTGGTTAGATCAACTCCCTGTGGAACTGAGATCCAGCCCAAATGCCTCCAGACTCAGGCTTTTCTCTCATTTTGGGTATTTTCAGTTGGTTACAATCATGAGGTGTGCAGATTTTCACTCTCTGTATGCTCAATACAGAGACTATAAATGAATCCCAGTATTTGGAAGCAGGAGCAACTCCTTGGTTGCTCCAAGCCCCATCCAACCTGGCCTTGAACACTGCCAGGGATGGGGCAGCCACAGCTTCTCTGGGTACCCTGTGCCAGTGCCTCAGCACCCTCACAGGGAAGAGCTTCTGCCTAAGATCTAATCTAAATAGATAGATATATAGACAACATAAGTACCAAGTTATCTGACAAGACTAGAACTAGTTACCAGTTGGTTTTAGCATTTTCCATTGACTTTGAATGGAGGCTGTGTGCCTGCATGGGACTGAAGGAGGGTGAGACTCACATCTTGGGAGTTGTGCTGTCCCGGCTGTGTGCCCAGCTCCAGCAGAGCGGCTGCTGGCTGCACATTCTCTGGGCAGAACTGGGAGCCAAAGAGCAGCTGAGAGTCACTCAAACTCGAGTAGTCACTGGGAGCGCTGCTCCGGATGGAAAACTTATTTGACCTGCAATGGGACAGAGTGGGTTGTGAATGGGTATTGAGCAATTCAAAAGCCAAACAGAATTCCCTGCACACCCTGCAGGAGCCATTCAAGCATGACCCACACCAACGTGTCCATTTTCACTCTACTGTTCCTCTAACTGTTAAATAATGTTTAACAGCATGTGGTTTTGTTACTCAAAGCCAACAGGTTTATCTTAAACTGGGTACAAACACAGTGTGCGAGCTCTGCAGTCACCTTGCAGGGTTAAAGTGTTTCCCCAGCATGTCCTACAGGCAGCAGACCAAACCCAGGACTGACCAGTTCATCCTACCTGCTCTGCTGGTCAGTGTTAATTTAAGGCACACTGTGGGGTTTGCCCCCAGCAAGTGCCAGGTTACTCTCTTGTCACCATCTGGGTAATAATTCTTGTTGTAGCTCATGCTGCTTGGTGGATTTGGAAGGCAGTTCCAACTGAGTAAACCTTTCTGACTGACAGTTGATGTTTCTTGGGCATATATTCTCTAGATGCCTAGAGTCTGATATGCTGGAACAACAAATAAATGGGTAGCATATGGCTGGACAAATTGATCTGGATTGTCAGAAATATTTCAGATGTAATTATGCACTACTCAGAAGTTCTTTGTTTTCCCCTGAAGGCCTCCCAGATGAACCTTTTCCAGCCAGCCTTGACTTTGTGCTGTGTTGCTCTGATTCTACTTCTCTTCAGAGACACAGCTTCTACTGCTTTATGGACTAGGCTCACGGCACAGTACCAGCTTCCCTTAGACAAGGGTTTCCCTATGCAGCTGCACCATTACTTCTCATTGTGTCAGGGGCTGGTTTTGGTTCTTTGCTAGCAAAGATACAGACTCTTTTCATTCTTCACATGATTGCTGGTCCATTGCTCCACATCTGCGAGGTCTGATGGGGTGCTAGGCCCAAATGTTAGAAAAGCTGGATGAGGTTTATACTCTCAGTTCTTGCTGGGTTTTAAGCTATCAAAATGGAGAGGTGTGTTGCTGCCTTTGGAATTACAGGACAGTATCAATGAAAAGACTCTTACACAGGGTTTTCTTTCCATATCACATCATAGAAGTAAAGAAGGAACAGGAAACTAATTCAGGCGTCTAACAAAAGATGATCACCACAACAGTTATTAGCAGTGACATGTCCCGTTAATCCCCGGTTTTGGAAGGAGCCCAAACATCACATACACAACAGGGCAGGGATTTAGTAGCAGTACTTGAACTGCTCAGTTTCCCTCTTTATTATTTAATGGTGCCAGTGACAATATCGTATTAAAACTTTTGGCTTTAAGCTCAGTGAGTTCACTGAGCTGCAGGCAAAAATAGATGAGGTATGTATGGGCCTCTGGAGCCTTAAAAAGCCTGAGAAATCTATCTGAATTCAAAGCTTCTCCCTTGATCTGTCTCTGGACCCAAATCTATTAAGAAAAGAATCTGAACACAACTTTCACCATCTCAGATCAGCTTTGTGAAAAACCCCCAAACTTCTTAATCCCCAGGCAGTACCAGGATTAAGAGCACACGGGATGCTGTGTCCCTGCATAGGCAGAACCTCTGCTTGCATTGTATCACATCTCCTGCACCAGTTTTCTAAATCCTCCTGTCTTCCCAATGAAAAAAGCTTCCTCTTAGTTTAAGGAAGGTTTTATAATCCTTAAGTGCTCCACTGCCTTGTCAAACTGCCTTTGAAAGTGTTTGGCATGACATCCTGCAACCTGCTCATTTTCTCGGTTCCTTCACATTACTTAATGCCTCAAGTACAGGAATCCTGTAACAAAGAGTTTTGTGATGGGTATTTTGAGGAGAATTGAGCTGAGAGGACTTTAGGAGGCAAGTGACTGCACAGGCTCACTCTGCACTGACCCTAGGACCAAAGGTGGCTATTGGCTGCTCTACAGCCTCTGTTTTCTGTCTTAAATCCAACTATTTTGCTGGTTGATTTAGAGACTAAATTTCCACTTCTGGAATTTAGGAGGAGAGATGAAAGATGTCTCTTGAATACACTCATTCCCCTGAGCAATGGATTTCTTTCTCCCTTGCTTCATTAACAATTCATTTACTAACAAGACCATCTAAGCCTGGTCCAGGTGTGGCCCTGGTGTATCTCCCTATTCCTGATGGTGAGGTCAGACAAGTGTGATCAGATCTGTGACCAGATCCATGTTCCACAGCTCTTCTCACCACCTGACCATTCCCTTCAGGATGCCTGAGCTGCAGGGATGCACGCACCATCCTAAATATAAACCAGGAGGAAACATCCTAGATATATAATCCCAGTTAGAAGTCCCTCCTAGGTGATGCAATAGTTTACTTCAGGAGAACTTCTAGCTTTCTGCTAGCATAAGACATTCCCCAACTCCTTCATGCATTTTGTGCCCATAATGTTTCTGTATATGTATCTCCAAATTAGACACATAAGGCAAGTTATTGTCAGCCCCAAGAAACACTAAATCATCCTCTGCTGACTGGTGGAATGGTTTCTTTTTCCCACCTAACTTCATGCAAGGTACTGGAATATTGGCAACCTCAAAGCTTTCTGTAACATGAGTGCGATCTAAAAGCTGTGTAGCCCCCTGCGTATGTGGGGAGTCAGCTGGTTCTGTGCAGACTCAGTTTCCCTGTTGCCAGCAGGAATCTCCCCTCCACAGGAGAAGTTTGATCTTTTGGGAGCTTCTTTCATTCCTCCTAAGTTCTGATTGTCACTTCCATATATTTTAGCACAACCATAACCAAATATTCACCTTTCCTTCGGGGTTCTGCCTTGCCCCCAACCAGCTGTCAGATACAACCCAAGAGAAACACAGCATGAGATAAAAACACCTTCTTCTTGTGTTTCCTACATACTTCTAGGGGCATCAAACAAGCTAAAAATGCATGAGGGCTTATCAGTCTTCTCTGTTCTTTGGATCCATCCTCATTTGCCAACAGTAAGGTTGAAGAGTCATTTGGAAAAGCAAAGTGAGCCTTCTCCAGTTTGCAAAATAACATCTATTGGCAGTGCTGTCATGAGGGATTTTGTTTGGTTCTGTCATTCCCGCTGAACCTGTGCCAGCATCCCTCTCCTTCCCCAGCACTGTGGGTGAAGCTCACTTGCACCTTCCTAACACATTTCTTTACAGTGCAGTGAAGTCTCTTTCCCAAAGAAGAGATCTTTTTCTCCTTGTAGTAATCTTGAGCTACTCAAGATTCTAAATCAGTGCTATGAAGTTCCTGTTCTGATTCCCCTCCAGGAAATTTCCCAGCTCTTTCTGCTCTCCTCATGGAGTGACCAGGGCTGCAGCACAGCAAATCCAATTGAAATTCTGGGAGCTGCTGTTCACCTGCTTTTCCTCCTGGATTTAATCTGTATCTATAGGAACTGTCTCTGGCTCTGCTGTGCTGTTCTCGTCATCACTACTTGCTGCCTGCCAATGTGTTCAGCAAATGGAGCTTTAGGTACAGAGGAGCTTCAGCATCATGGGGCCTGGAGCACCTTAAATCAAGGAGGTTTAGCTTCCAGCCATTTGCCACCCCTTCACTGGGAACAGCCGCAACATAAAATTGTTATTCTGCTTCCTGCCCTCTGGAACTGCATGACCTGCTTGCTGCAGATCATGTGCACCGTATCCTGAAAGGAATGTCTACATACAGATCTTGGCACTGACCCTAATACATGAACCACAAGGAAATCCCTCTCAGTTACTCAGCTCAAACACTGCCTCCAGTTTCCAGATTTCAGGCTTAAAGCTCTTCTGGTCTTGTTTTAATTCCTCAAGGTCATTTTCTATGTTCTATCAGCCATTCCATTATTCATTTGGCTGTGATTCAACACTGCCCAGACATTCCTCACCTTGGAAACTGTGTTAGCCTTATGACAAGAGATGCTTGCCTGTTGCAATGACTTACAGAGACTTTTCCTTAGGAGGAGATTGAGATTTCCATGGAGCAGTCCTGTTTACTTATGCATAATGTATCCCTGACCATATTAAGAGTTAGGCATCTAGAGAAAGAGGGGTTTCTTTGCTTTCCCCCAGCCTCAAGCTGTCCTCCATAGCCCTGGTTTCTCTTTCTTCCAGGGCTCAGGATTTTTACAGCTGCTCTCCTGGTCTTTTTCCTGGCTGTCTCCATTTTCTGCTTATTCTGGGGCCATAAGGCAATTTCAGAACACATGGCCCTGCTATGTGGGGTGGAATTTCATGGGATAATGGATTGCATGAGGTTGTTGTATTTGGAAGTTTTTTCTCAGCAGCAGAAATAAGCCATAGGTGGTAGTAGCAGCCCATGTAGGCCTTAACTTACAGCACCCCTTTTGAATGCCTCTAATATTTTCATCATATATTGGCCTTACACACACTTTGGCAGGCTTCCTTTGGAAGTTGATGTGTTAGTAGCTTTTATGCCTTTAGCAAATTGCTGTATCTCTCATGGGACAAGAAAATTCTCATAACTCCCATTCCAGATAATAATGTATCAGTTTCTTTTTTCCTATTTTTCATTGTCTTTCATTGCCTGGAGGTTGCCTTCTTATTTCCAGTAGTCTCCTTTACCATGCCTGTCCGCTACTGGTCCTTCTCATGTCTGATCTGATAGCTGGTACATTCTGACCTGCAACATGAAGTCTAAATAACCTCTAGGTCTCAAGCAAGTATTTAACCCTTTTGGCTCTTCAGTTCAATTTCTTTCTAGTGAGCTTCCTTATCACTACATCAGTGGGTTTTAAAACTAAACAGCAGTGGGTTGTTTGGCTTCTGTTGCTCCTGCAGAGATGTTGACTCCAGTTCGTACTGTCACTCATGGTAGCACTACAACAGCAATACCCTGAAGGCAGGTCTTGTGCTCAGCTCAGGGTCAAGGCCAGACGTGTCCCTTCCCCTGGGAGTGCCTGGCAGGTATTTATGGAGTGTGAAAAAGTTCTTTCCTCATCACACCCTGATGGTGCTTATCCGGTTGGTAAAAGGCTGATTGAAGCATCTCTGCTGTTGCAGCTGCTGTTCTCACGTCCTCTTTCTTTCCTGCCCTCCTGGCTGGGCAGGCAGCAGCGCTGCTCCAATGCCACACATTCCCTAATGAAATCTGGCATTTCAGACCACAAAAACTGTGCCTTTGTTGAGATGTTCAAATTGAGCGTAAGCTTTCTCCACTGTACAGTTGTCATTCTGTGTGCCCCTCTCCCACCTTCTTAAATGGTTGGCATCCTGATGTTACAGTGTCCAGCTAGATAGCCTTCCCTCTGCTGCATCTCTAGGACCAATATTAAATCAATATTCATACCTAAAACCAGGTAAAACAGAGACTTCTTTTCCCCCACCCTATTTCTCAGGCTGCTAGTGGTTACAGAGCAGCACATGTGTGTCTGACAGATAACAAATAAACCCCAGAGCAGTCTGTGGCTTGTGCAGAACCACTGCATGAGGGTGCAGCATCACTGGAGCTCTGCATTTCCTAGGGACCGGGTAGCAGCTGCTCTCAGATGTAACACCCTGACTCAAGCTTGCACAGAGCTCACAGCGTGATTCATACCCTACCTGGATTATACACTGATTTTATGTTTCATCCTTAAAGCTCCATCAAAGACAGTATTCTGGGGATTATACAGGATACCCTGCTGTGATGGGAAAGGGTTTCAGCAACAGAAACAGAGCCAGGGAAACATAATCAACACCTTTTCCCTCCATTTCAAACACACACAAGCATGTGCTCCTATGAGTAATAATTTTTGCCTTTCTAACAAGCCAATTCTCCTCCCGAGAACCTTTTCCCCCTTTTTAGCTCCTCTAAAACCCCAGCTGCATTTTCAGGGACATTTTCTGCCCTACTCGAGCCTTTTGAAGTCACTTGCAAAAAAGGATCCCTGTCCAAACAGGCACCTGTGTGTCTTCGACTCTTTTCTTTTCCTATTGCATGACTACATAGAATGACTTATATAGTTAATAGAAACATATATATAAAAATATGTAATATTCCATGTTATTATATATAATAATATGTATTTTTATCTATTCTCTGAATCCCCCTGCTCACTCTCTGACCAGAAAGAAAGCCACAAGTTCTCAAACTTACTGAAAACACAGTTAAAAGAGAAAAGAAATCTGCAGGTAGCAAGAGGACAATAGAATTGCTCAATGCATATTTATAAAGACAAAGCCAAGACAGATATAAACATGTTTTTTCCTACATTGCTTCCCCTTTGGCCTCCACAGCTGTGCAAATTCGATTAATTCATATATATATATATTTATAATGGGCCAGGAAACCACAATTATGTTTTCATTATCATCCATCATTGCGGTAACGCCGGCCCAAGGAGACGGTGTGACTGAAACTGTGAATTTGAGCAGCATTTAGTTACGTCAGTGAGTTATTTAACTAACAGAGGCTCGGAGGAGCAAATCCATCAGTGAGCTTCAAACCAGGGATGGATCTTGCTGTCTATTTAGCTGTGTGATGCAAAGGGTGATGCTCTGCTGTAGAACATAGAACAATGCCAGCCTTACGCACTTGTTCCCCAGATGTTTACATCCATATAATACTTGTCGTTTCACTCTGTGTTGTATTTGCAGGGGGTTCTGGCTGCTCCAGCTGGGTAAAAACCACCCCTTGAGCCATGTGTGTGAATGCAGGATGTGGAATAATGTGGGAGTTACGTAACGTGGAGCAGTATTGCAGATCACTGTTTGCTTTATCTGCGCAGGCAGATGGAGATGGAGCAGTTCAGTTGTCTCATTAGAGATCGGACTAATGGGACTGCCCTGTAGAACCCAGGGAGCAGCTTTCATAAATCCAGCAGTGGTGGATCTATGGCAGGATGGGAGCAAGGCAGGCACACGCAGGGTCATGGATTACACTAATTAACCACCATTAACTGGTAATCAACCACAGATCAGTTCTAGATGTGTTTCACCCGGTCACTTTCAACCCAGGGTGTTTATATACATTATATGTATACATCTCTCCTCCCCAGGGCGCAGCTTACAGCCATGCTGGGGTTTAGATTCACAGTGATGGTGAATCTATGGCAGGCTGGGAGCAAGGCGTGACACACACAGGGTCATGGAGTAGGCTGATTACCCACCATTAACAATACATCAATTCTTACCTGCTTCACCCCATTGCTATCAGACACACTGGGTGTTTACATACATTATACATACATCTGTCCCCCCTCCATGGCTCACCCGGTGGCTGTCGGTGTGCTCAGCATTTCCTTGATGTTCCAGACGTTCGGATTCATGTTCTCCCCACAGCCAACACCCTCGCTGCAAGCTCCTGGCCCTCACCTCTGCTCCCGCCTCTCCTACCACATGGTGGGCACACAGCCACACTGCCCTGCAGCAAGGAGCGGGAAAGGGATGGATAAGGATGGATAAAGATGGATAAAGCCCTGTGTGGGAGGAGAATCCCCTTGTGCCCCCTCACTGTGGGGAGAGCCGGGAGGGCCCAGCCCTGCAGGCCCAGCCGACATGGCAGCCCCAGGGCTGGGCCTGGTGCCTCTGCATGGGCCCAGGGTGAAGACCCCAGGCTGGGGTCCATGGATCTCACCCCGGGGCTGTGGATCCAGCCTTATTCCCAGCTCTGATCTCTCCCCAGGTCACTCATGGCGGGCACACAGCCAGACCCTTCCCTCTGCTTGGCAGCAGAGCTCCGGGCTCACGGGGACATCGCTGGGCAAGGGGAGGAAGAGGAGGCGCGGAGCCTGATGCACTGAGGTACGCTCCCATGGGAGCATGGAATGGTTTGGGTTGGGAGGGACCTTAAAGCTCCTCCAGCTCCAACCCCTGCCACGGGCAGGGACCCCTTCCACTAGAGCAGCTTGCTCCAAGCCCCTGTGTCCAACCTGGCCTTGAACACTGCCAGGGATGGGGCAGCCACAGCTTCTCTGGGCACCCTGTGCCAGCGCCTCAGCACCCTCACAGGGAAGAGCTTCTGCCTAAGAGCTCATCTCAGTCTCCCCTCTGGCAGGTTAAAGCCATTCCCCTTGGCCTGTCCCTACAGGCCCTTGTCCAAAGCCCCTCTCCAGGTTTCCTGTAACCCCTTTAGGTACTTCAGCCTGGTGGCCGTGGACCTCATTTACTTCACGTCCAGAGGCTTGTGTGGTCTCTCATGTAAACACCTCTTACAGAGACAGAACGATTTAATTTCATCCATTAGAAGTATGACAGAAATAACCCATCCTCTAAACACTCTGTGGAGAAAGTTTCTCAAATATGGAATCTTTCCCTTGTGCTCTTGTATCCTACATCTTCAGGAATGGAAAACGAGCATGTTTACTTGCCTGCTTTTTTAATCCTTTAGTTCAAAACAATCCCAAAACTAGATGAAATGCTTGGTTGCTGGTTCTAATACAGCACCTTATGAAGTAGAGTATATAGAAATAATGTCGATATAAATTCATGGGTAGATTGAAGGACTACTCACATTCCCCTTTATGCTCCTTTGGCTTTAGTATTAAAGGGAGCCTGGAGCTCAGAGGTGTCAAAATAATGGCTTTCTTGATGTATGTATCTGGTTTCCCCATCAAATCCTGCAGGAATAAAGCTTTTACCACCAAAAAAATCAAATCATTCTGGACCTTTACCCATAACAAACTTCTCGGAGTGACTTGGCTGCATTGGTTTTGCTTGTCGCTGCAGCGCGAAGGCTGCTATAAAGAGCTGGGATTTATCCCAGCGGCTTGTTAACTCTCAGCTGCACGACGCACCTCTAACAGGTTGGTTTGCTAAGACCGGAGCAGGGAATCACAGCCTGGATCTTGTCTCTGCTTCAGGGAATGGATAACGGCCAGGTTGTCCAAGGCAGCCGTGGGCTGGAAGGCGAATGCTCCCCCAGGGAGCTGTGCTGATGGGAACATTGATGTTTATTGTGCTTCTTGAGTAAACAGACCCTTGTTCTGCTCCTGAACTGCTGCCGGTGCTGCTGCCAAGGCTCTTGCTGTGCACCCAGAACCTATAGAGCACTGCATCGTAAATGGCTGTTTGCCACCATTTTATTGCTCCTAATTGGAAAGTTGGCCCACAACTCCCTTCAGAAGAGACCGTAGTGCCCTGCGGCTGTTTACAGTACTTCCACTGCCCTTAGGAAAGGATTTGCTAGTGCTTTGCACACCAGCGATAAGGCTCAGCACGTTATTTTAGGCTATTACACCGAGCTATTCCTATTTCTGGTGTGGCAGGAGCTTCCTGGTTTGTGGAGTATGATAAATGAGGTTTGTATAGTTCTGCTGACAATGGAAAGACATTCCTATGAGGAAACACATTGGTTTAATTATAGGTCTGACAGCTACCTCCAGTGCCAGTCCCCCCATCCATAACACGCTCCGGGGAGATTAGCCATGTTGCCAGGCGCTGGCTCGTGGCTCTCCTTATATCTGAAGTAACAGACTGTGCTGCTACTGCTAGGGAGTGTGGCCAGATACCTGAAGCCTTTCATTTAGTAAGAATTAGCAGAAGCTGCCAAGAGATAGGCAGCAATATATGGGCTGTGTTCCTCAATTCTTTTTCTCTTTGTAATGCATTTCATTAGAAATTCACAGGAGCAATTCAGTTAATAACGTGTCAGTGTCCAAGGGTGGTCAGAAACATCATTTCTTTGCCTGAAGATTGCTCCATCCATCCCAAGATGTCCTTGGCCATGATCCTGGTTGCTCTTTTCCCCTCATTTGGATGGGATCCTGGTTCTGTGTCCAAAAGTGGAAGTAGAAAAGAAGGAGAAATCCACACTTTTAGGAGAAGTCATGGATTTCTGTTCAGCCAAACAGCACTGCCATGGCTCAATGTGCCAGGCAATCATGTGCACGAGGCAAGAGGCTGCTGAGAAAGGGATAAACCCCTTGCGGGGTAGGGACCATCAACTGGAAACACCCAATGGCAAGAGGCTCTCAAGCCGCAGATACCCCCTCCAGCATCTCCCACCTCTTTACACCCATCAGTGCCTTGGATTTGGATAAAGCAGCCCCGAGCACCCGGTGAGCAGCAGGGCAAGCAGTGAAGTTGGCATGCAGGGGTGTCAGTTTGGTGGTGACTCAGCGTCTGATTTATCCCGTCTGTGCAATGCTCCTGTGGGAAAAGCTTATTAATCAGGTCAGCATTTCCACACAGCTCTGTGATTCAGGATCCCCCATGATGAAAGTTTTGGTGGGACTGAAGTTATGTGCCTCGGTGGCTTCTGGAAAGGGCTGGCATGCTGAGGAGAGAGGTACCGAGGTGGCACCAAGGGGTCTGTCACCTCCCAGGACCCCAGGAAGGAAGAGCCGAGCAGGGCTGAGCACAGGTCAGGGTACACTGTGAAAATGGGGTTCTGCTACAGTGTTCATAGGCGAAGGCTGGAGACAAATCATGTTTAGAGGAGGGGTCCCCCTGTCCGGCCCCTGGCACAGAGTGAGCTACTGACCTCCGTCTGCCAGCACATCCTGCTGCTGAGTACGGCTCAATCACTAATTCGGGGCTCCCTGTTGATGCTGGCTCTGGCACAGCGGTGGTTTCTATGGCAACTCCAGAGGCGGATGCAAGGATGGCTTCAGCTGAGGTACTGTCAGTCCAGGTATCCCAGGATGTTCTTCCCAGAATGCTGGCAAAAGGCCATGCAACACACTGGGACAGACCTGGTGATTACTGCCCTTGGGTGGGCAGCAGAGATGATGGGGCAACAACACCAAAACCCTCTTGTGGATGCTCTTCTCTGAATCCTTTCTGACTTTCCCCTCACATGTCACAGCCTGCCCCAGCAGTGTGTGTGGATGGATTTTTAGCGAAGGATGGCCACGTTCCCAAGTCAGCAAGTGCCTACGTGGAGTTCAACATGAACCAAGAATGAAGGAGGATGTGGGTAAAGAAGCAAAAGTAACAGTGCAAGCAAGGTAAGAAGAAAAATGAATGTGCTAAGATACAAAGTAGTGAACTGTTAGCAAGTTTTAAAGGTTAAGTTCCTATATGCTTATTCAATGAATTGTATACTAGTTGCTGTGTGCTGCAAGAATACGTATCCAAGCATAATATACTAAGCTATTGTATATGTAGCCGTAGTTGTTGTGTGTTACAAGAATAGGTATCCAATTATAATACAGCAAGCCATTGTAAGCAGAGGCAGACAACAGTATACAAAGGATAAACGCTTTGTACTAAAGGGCTTTGGTCTGATCACATTGATCTCTGAGTCCATTTTTCTGTGGCAAGTGTGCTGGATGTGCCACACCACACTGGGATTCAGCCTCCTGTCCCTCTGGCCCTGCTAGCCTCTTCAGGATCACACCAGATGTCTTCTCCAAAAGGTCAGGCATCCACACTTGGTATTTACTCAGACCTGTGAGATCTTTCTAATGTTCTATCAGTGAAAGATCGAATCCTTCTCTGCGTGGAGCCAAAACCAACAAGGTTCAGGAAAGCACTTGCAAACTGGGGGGCACCCGCCATTGGCCTCACTGTGCACGCCCAAATATCAACCACAGACACCACTGGTACAGAGCTTACTTTCCCTTCCTGATGCCGGAAGCAAGAGATGCAGCGTTCCAGGCGAGCTGGACACAGCTGGATCAGCTCTCCCTGTCTCCTTTGGGACAGGGCTGTGATGCTGGATGGGGTTCAAGAGCCCTGTCATCATTCAGCATCTCATCTTATTTCTCATCATCCTGGCAGCCCTCACCATTCCCTGCTCTCTCTTGCAGCCTTGCTCGCTCTGACAAAGCCTTTCTCCTGCTGTTGCCTTCACCCCCTGCAGCCCCTTCACCCACAGGAGAGGCCAAGCAGGAGCAAGGCTGTACCAAGGCAGTACAGACATTGCTCAGCTCTTGCTTTCCAAAAGGAGGGCTGGATCCCTGCATCACATTGCTCCACTCACCCTGGCAGTGCGGAAAAGAGCAAGAGCCATCCCTGCCGCACAGCACAAGGTCCCTTTGGAGGATGCTTCCCTGACAGACTGCAACATATCCCTGCCTGCAGCAGGATACCCAGGACGACACAACTCCAGCAGGGTAAAACTCCACGTGTTTCATTTATTTGAGGTGCTACATCACCTCCTAGGCACTGAGCTACAGGGCACCTCTGTGCTACATGAGACATCGACTGGGTCTACGACGACACAGCACTTACTGCTACACACACGGCAGGGACATGCCGCGGCACGGACGGGGGCAGCATGACCAGCGACCGTCCTACCACTGCTGCTCCCTCTGTGCCACCAGCCACAGCCCTCCCACTAGGCAGGCGTTAACCCCAGGCTCCATTGCCACAGCACTGCAGGAGGCCAGAGGTGATTCCATGGCACAGAGAGACACCACGGCTGCTCTGGTGCCCGGTGCCATGGGACGATGACACTCCGGAGCCAGGTCACTCATACGCACCGGTACACACCCTGTCCCCGTCTTCAGGCACTTGGTGCTTGGCCAGGGCTGGTCCCCAGGGCCCAGCTCAGGGTGCCTCACGCAGGCACAGAGCCTCGACGGCCCCGCTGGGGCCCTGAGCCACCCCACCGATGACGAAGAGCAGGCTGGGCGCCGGGCAGCTGGAGCAGGAGCAGCGGCCCGTGGGCATGGGTGGCAGTGGCTCCCACTTCTTCTGCGAGGGGCTGAACCCTTCCACCGAGTCCAGCGGGCAGGACTGGTTCCCTGTGGAACACAGAATGGCATCAGCGCCCCCCAGCCATAACCCGCACCCCTGGCTCTGCCTTTCATCCTTCACATGCCTCTTGATGCCTCAGGCAGAGCCCCTGAGACCTGGGCTGTGTGGGCTCTGTGATTCCAAAGGCAATTAGCAAGGGCACAAGAGGATTAGCAGCATTTCCAACAGGATTGCTGCTGGCAACGA